GAAATTATTTACAGTGGTGCTGGATGCCAGAGCAATGCATCTGGAATAACTATATCATTAGACAAATGATTTGGGAGGTGTTCAGGGCCAAGTACAATAACTTCAGTTTGGTATGAGTTTAACTTCAGGAAGCTGCAGGTCATCCAGGATGTTGTGTCCTCGAGGCATGCTTGGAGTTAAGGTAACTGGTTAGTTTGGTCCGGCTTGATAGATAGATATAATTTGGTATCTTCTGCATAATAATTCAAGTTTATGGAGTGTTTTCTGATAATATTGCCAAACAGAAGCATATATAAGCTGAATAGAATTGACCCGAGTACAGAACCTAACTAACATTGGTGTACATGGAGGATTGTTCTGATAAATAGGATCAAACCAGCTAAGTGCTTTTCCTTTAATGCAAATTCATTGTTCCAGTCTCTGTAATAGGATGTGATGGTCAATGGTCCTTTTGTCTGATGGAAATAGAAGATGATTAGTCATTCTAGAACCTCTTTAAGCAGCCTCATCAGGATGGGGTCTAAGAGGGAGACATCTTTGAAGTCTACTGGTGAAGGTTGATTGGAGAACAGCAGTCTAAATATTGACCAGGTTTTGCAGCTGTTTCTGAGGTTCCTGTATTTGAGGATAGATCGGTACTGGTTGAGGGCAGGAGGTGATTCATCTTGTCTCTAATAGTTAGAAATGCATCATTTAAGAAGTTCATATGAAGTTGCAACAGTGCTGAAGAGAAACCTGGGGTTGTTCTTATTTTTCTCTATCAATGATGATTAGTAGGCAGCTCTGGCATTACATCGTCCTCTGGTGGCTAAACCCTAAAATAGCATCAGTTCTTGAATCCAGTGGCAGTTAAATCAGCCCACCCCAACCGCAGGATAGCCCCTGACCTAAGACTTCCACTTAGTGACACGTGATGGTCCCTGCCAGTGAGTTGGATCAGTGACAACCTGAGTAGGTCATCAGTCGTAGGGGTGGGAGTCTCTGAGACTCACTCACAGGGCATCTGTGGAACAAACGCTTTATGAATCCACAATGAGGTGCTGAGTGACGTACTCCTGACAGGAAAGGCAGCAGCGGTGTACGTCTCTTCTGTGTGATGCAGTTCTGCAAGTTTAAACACTTTAAGATTAACCAAACATGTACAAATGTATAAATACAACTGCACATAAAGTAGTTTACATACCAGTACATTTACTTTATTACTTCGGTGTTCCATTCCATGCTACTGTACCCTTCTATTCTACACCACTACATCTCCATGGAAAGCACTGTACCTTTCTGATTAAAAACATATAATCTTATAAAATATAACCATGTTTCCCTTCATACATGAATCTAACTATATCCAGGGTTTGACATTTGTTATAGCATGCTATAGAATTCCTTTGTGAGCCTTAAGTACAGTGACAGCACTGTATAAGGTTAGTAACAGTTCAGTGACAGGCCTACTCTAACACACGTATGAGGACTTATGAGCAGTGTTTGTTCGCTGCAAGTAAAGTATACCAGAAAATATACAATCACAATGATTATCAATGCCATGTCAACGTCTCTCCTCTTTGTCTTGCTCTGGATATTTGTAGTTGCATTGTGATGTCTCTGTCTTTGGGAGGAAAGTCTTTTCCCACGTGGTTGAGATAACTATAGGTCCAACTCCTAGTACAGCACACAGTTACCGGTAGAAGTCTGGTGACCGTACATGTAGATTAGATTACATCAAGTGAATGTTAACGAAGAGCTTGTCAGATGAAGAAGTCTGTTGTTGAGGGGATTGCAAACTGGGACTTAAGGCACGCTTGGTCACAATGCTGGAGTATACTGTGGTCAAGTGAGCTGTTTGCGTAAACAAGGCAGTTAATTTCGATGCTTGTCTATTCGTGGTGTTACGGTACGGGTGCTTGGAGCGGCCACAAACGACGACGAAAGTTAACATTGAATTGATGTAATGAAGGCAGCCTAATGTCTCATACAGCCAGCAAACACTGCTCACAAGTCCTCATACGTGTGTTACAGTCGGCCTATCATAGGATGCTAATAACCTTATACTGTGCTTTACTTCACTTAAAGCTCAGTCATATAGCGTGTTATTCAGTGTGGCTATGTGGCACAAGGCAGTAAAACTGCCTGTGCCAAAGCACACTGTATATTATCCATCGGGCTTAATAATAATCAGCTTTATCCAAAAGTTTGGCGCGCCTCTCCTCACACAGCGTTGCCAACAGCGGCGTGAAAAACACATCAAAACGTGCGGCCTGATCGAGAATAGCGCGGAAACTATTCTTCGGAGAGATTCGCCCAGCGGTTTTCCCGAAAATCCCGGAAAACCCCGAAAAACGGAGCAAAATGAAGTTTGGCGCGCTTCTCCTCACACAGCGTTGCCAACAGCGGCGTGAAAAATACATCAAAACGTGCGGCGTGATCGGGAATAGTGTGCCATCTATTTTTCGGAGAGATTCGCCAAGCGGTTTTCCCAAAAATTCCCGAAAATCCCCAAAAACTGAGCAAAATTTCTCCATTCACTTGAATGGGGTGTCGGCGTGAAGAGAGCTAAAAAAACACTTAACTTTGGGCCCATATTGACTAGCTGTACATGAACGTAGAAACATGATTCAAAGTTTAAAACGTAGACAAAACGCTGCACTTTATTGAGCCAAAGGGACATTTTGATAGCTAGCAGTTTTCATGAAGTCACAGATTAAGTTTCAGGAAAATTTTGGGTCTGTTTCAGATTTTATAATGGGTGTGTATTGCACGGCTCGTGAAGAGCTAGAGTGAGAGCATAACTGTCAGAGTGGAGCGGAGCATGAAAATCTTCTGTGATTTTTCCAAACAAATTGCTCCAGCTCCCACAATTTTTAATCTTTATACACCATTTTGGCCAAAAAGCTTGGAAATGTTGTGCTGGTCGCAGTAAAGTGTCTATGGAATCCAATGGACTTACACATTTGGCTCAAAGAGCCGCAGAGCGACATGAACTCCAACCAACTGCTCCATTAGACTCCATGTTAAATCTCACCACTAATTTCTCAAAGAACGCAGACGGTACCAGTTTTGTCTATTACTCTGGAGCTCACATTATTAACACCACAACCATAAAAAACACATTACCGCATTTGGCAGAGTCTTATCTTTCTCACGGTATCCATATTTTGGCACTCAGACTCCTGCTAATTTGTTAAAAACAGGCAGTTTTGTTCAAAATCACTGATTACTGCAACGTTTCTTAATCAGTCTGCCTCTAACACCAGGTGCGTGGCTCACCATGGCAACCAGTTACACACACGCACGCAGGCTCTCGCTCTCTGTCTGTCTGCCTGCCTCACTCTCCCACTCACTCAATCCATATAACTGTCTGTCTGCCTGTCTCACTCACTCTCTCTCTCTCCCTCTCTGTATCATACAGTCATTCAGGTCTTAGATATTTTTAGAGGACTTTTCCCCTCTCACCACCACCACCACCACCCCCCCCCCCCCCCCCATTTCAAATTAAAAGCCCCACAGAATGAATTCTAACTGGAATGCTTGTGATGAAGCCTCTCATTTTAGTGTCAAACATTATGATTCTGTCTCCTCTCCCACCCTTTCAAAATAAAAGCCCCACAAATACAAGATTCAATCCAAGAGTATGAATCTAAAATGCAGAAAAGAGAGTAGCGCTATCTCAATTGAACCTGAATGACCGGTAACATTGGCGTGTGTATAAATATTGCGATTTCTTTGGGCAGTAGAAGCCACACTGTCAAAATTTCTTTAGGAATTTTCTAGTTGATGTTTATAAGACATTTCAGAAAAGCAGAATGTGTGTTAAGTTAGAACAGTGTAACCATGAACTGATACTACATAAAGTCCACCACTTCTAATACTTCATAAACCTTGTTATAAGTTGTCATGCATGATTACAAATGGTTAGAAAGAGTATTATAAAGCCTTATTACATTTTAATGTAGTGTTACCACAGACATGTTTGATGCATTCTACTTTCAGCTTTTAACATAAAAATGGAAGAAACATTGAATTTCAGGTATACATTAAGTTCTTCCTTCTAAATCAAGTGAAGTGATGCAATAGAAGTCAATTTATTAGTTGCCAATATTTTAGGAATAATTAAAGTTGTTAATTTCACATCAAACAATCATCACCTTGTTGAAGTAAACTATTTCATGAAACATGCCAAAGACTGAAGTAGACACACTGTCTGTCCGTTTAAATAAGCTGCAAAATGCTCCTTTAACACAAGTCTAAATGTATTTCTTTGACAGCAGTACAGTATTGGGACAACAATAAGAACGTATGAAAACATGTCCTGAACTGTTCTGTATGAATGTTGCAGCGCTGAAGGCCTTTTGTTGCGGTTGTTGTTCCGAGCAATTTTATTCCAGATGTTGGTCATATTTGTATCTTTCTGTATAAAGAGTGCGCTCCCTCCTCGCTCAGACTGCTTCACTCTTTGGGATGATTGAACCTTCTCTGCGCAGAGAGTAAATATTCCAAAGACAACTTCTGCTTCTCGATATTCTTTACTCTCATGGTTTTGAATGCCAGCAGTCAAACATTTTAAAAGGTGATAACCACTAGAAAGCTGCTGATCAGCAAGGTCTGTCATATAGAAACATAATCTAGAGACAGATTGCTATTAAAGACCCATGAACTATATTATATCCATGTTTATGAAAGCAGGATATGATGTTTACGTGTTCAAACACATAACTACGATACTCCAACAATCTTATTATAAGGCTTAATAATAGCATTTCTGTTCTTCTAAACTGTGAAGGTAAATGTCAGAATGAAAGAGCAGATACTTTGCTACAGGAAAGGAAACTGTGGGACAATACTACATGAAGTAGCAGACAGAAGGTGAGTATATCTTAAGAATGGAAGAATAGGCATCACACATTGATATCCAGCTCAAGTTTGCTTCTTAAAATGTGTCAAAGTAAAAGGCTGAAGGTCTGTAAATATTATACTGGAATTGTGAGAGAAAACAACAGTAAGACATGTGGAGAGAATAGACACATTTATTAATGTATGGTTCATGGTATATATGAGATTACTCTTCTGTGATACAGAAACAGGTAAACACATAAAAGCAGAGCTCAGGATTTTAAAGGGCTGCTCTTACTTTGACAAATCAAAGCTGAGTGTTCCTGGGTGTGAGATGGCAGCTCACAGTTTGGACAGTTCATAGCTGAAAAATGTAAGATGAAAGTAGTTTGTTGATTCCAACACTGTATGGGAGATGAGGATAACTACACTAGTACAGGTGTGTATCCAGCATGTTTTTCCCTGCGGTGTTAGGCTGGAGTCTGCTCCTCTTTCACTCGGCCCTCTTCACTGATACTCTCCTCCTTTCTGTCCACTACGTTAGCTTCTTTCTCCTCTTCCCCCATTTTCAGTGCTAACCAAGACTCTTTGTGCAACCTCTCGCTCCGGTCCACTTCCTGAACACTGGGTGGTGACGTCACCTGCATGTGCGGTGGCAGGTGCTTGAACTCAACCTCGTTCACATCATAGTCCTTCATCTTTGAGTTCAGCACCCACCAGCGGCCGACGAAGCCAACATCTAATACCCGCTGAGGCAGCTCCTTCCAGGGTACTGACAGATTGGAGCAGTGGGCTTCGTACAGTGTGGTGTCTGGGTCGTAGTCAGAGCGGTAAACCAGAGAGAGAAGACCCAGGCTGGCATGGTGTAGCCGTCCCTCGTTACGGAGTTTCACTAGACTCTGTATGTGGCCATCAGAGGTCCCGTTGCGGATCCACGGTGACAGCAGGCCCAGCTGGTTGGAGCACTCCAGCAGGGTGGCTTCAAAGGATGAGTGGTCCGGTTTTGTGTAGCAACAAGCCCAGGCCCCGCCCAGCAGAGAGGCATATACAGAGGCTTTGACGGGTCGCTCCCATGAACCGACAACTATCTCCCGACATGCCTCTTTGTAGTCAGAGACCAGGCCGCGACACCACGCACCTACAGACACAAAGATACAGCACAAAATGTCACTTAGTCCTGCTAACAGCAGATTGCTCCAGATATCTGTAAGTGGATCACTGAGTCCTTCTTAAGTTTAGGAACTACTCGCTAGTGATTTACTGAATTACACTATTAAAGTTTAAAAGGAATACTTCATCCACAACATTACCGTTTGTATACATTAGGGCAGAAATACTATTCCATATTCACTGCAAATGATTTGAACTATATCAAAAGTAGGAGTGCAGCACATCACAAAACTCAGTTCTGATTGTATCTCCATTCTGAGTCACGGATCGGATCAGCAGAAAAAAGGAAGCAAATCTATTCTTTATGCACAGATCAATTATGGTTTACAATTACTCAGAACTTGTACAGTATAATACAGTGTCAATTATCCAGTCCTTTGCTCACTACTTCCCACTCACATGACTATCTCAGACACATTGGACTCGTCCTAGCGCTCCTGTGGGTAAAGTGGGTCATCTGTTAACCACAAGGTTGGTGCTTTGATCCCTGGCTCATACTGTCCACAATGTCCTTGAGTGAGACACTGAAACCCTAGTGGCTCCCCGAGCACTTCACATCAACTCACTGCTCCTAAAAATGCTGTCGATGGGTTAAATTCAGTGGTCAAATATCATGCGTGTATATGGTGATTCTAATTAGGGCCCGAGCAACAGACAATGTCGGGCCAGCGAAGGCCCTATTGAAATTGTAATCATTATTCAGTGTGGCTTTGTGGCACAAGGCACCTGTGCCAAAGCACACTGTATATTATCGGGCTTAATAATAATCAGCTTTATCCAAAAGTTTGGCGCGCCTCTCCTCACACAGCGTTGCCAACAGCGGCGTGAAAAATATATATATACATATACATATACACATACATATACATATATACATACATATACATATATATACATATACATATATATACATATATATACATACATATACACATATATACATATACATACATATACACATATATACATATACATACATATACACAGACATATACATACATATATATATATATATACATACATACATACATACATACATACATACATACATATACACATACATACATATACACATACATACATACATATACACATACATACATATACATACATACATATATACATATATACACATACATATATACATACATATACATACATATATACATATATATACATACATATATACATATATATACATATATACACATATATATACATATATATACATACATATATATACATACATATATATACATACATATATATACATATATATACATACATATATACATATATATACA